GGAATTAATTAAAATTGCGAAGTTAATTGAATTTTTATAACTTTTTTGCTGCCTCTCGTTGCCCGCTGCCTTCGCATTAACCGGGTGGTTGTCGGGACGCGCCGTTCTCCATTCCGGTTAAGTGTAATAGTCGCACGAAAATATTGTTCTTTTGTGAAGAGAGAAATAGGATCCGCGTCGCGTTTCTTTGTTTTTCCGATAAAATCATTCTAACTATTAATAGCGACAGCACGCAATCTGTCCGCAATCGATCGAACATTTGTTACATTCTTTCAACGAGACAACTCCGTCGCAATGTAAGCCTATTAAAAATCATATTATTGTTATTAAGGAAAAATTCATAAATTCTGTTTCTAAAAAAATCAATATGTAATTAATGCAACTTACTAAATGTGATTTCAGCATAACGATGTTGTCTTGTCATCTGAATATTTATATTTTATATCCCTTTGATGAGTTTTCGTCGCGCATTTTTCGACGTTCGTCTCTCGACAACTCGTTCGCTCGCGGCGGATTCCTGATTTCGGCAAAATGTCTTTCCCTCGAGAGATTACACGAGGGAAGGACGCAGAGGGGGAGGGAAAAGGGAAGGGATAGAAGGAGCGCAGAACGGCGTTTTTCCACGGTGCCTCATAAGTAAACCTCATAAGTAATCTCGCCGGCGGCGCGTCTTCGATTTGAATTACCCTTCTGTTATTTCTTGCCCGTCGCCGGGCGTTATCAGAAATCCGTTCGCTCGTCGGATTAGCATGTCTGAGGTAGCGACCATCAATTTCAATATCCACTCGATAAATATTCCTTTGGATCCAGACTTCTTTCCTCTACTTACTCCGCACCGATCACCTCCCATCCGATCCGACCTTACCCCCTCGTCTTACCCCGCGCCGTCTGGAGATCCGTGAGATTCGATGGAGCACCGAGTAAGACGTACGGCTCGATAGACGGTTGCAGACTGGCTTTAGATAATATCCTCCCTCAGAGCCTCGACGGAGACACAAGACTGCAACGATATTTCGCTCTTCGCAAGTTCTTGAATATATTTATATATAGAGATTCGTCGTGGTGCTAGATAGGAACTGCTTGTTGTTTATAATACGTCGTACATTAAAAGTAATTTGTCATTTATTTATAGCGTTATTTGTTATAATAAAATTATGACAAAGCGTTAAAGGTTGTAAAAATGAGATATTATCGATAAAATCGTTAGTCAAATCAGAAGCCACAATTACATTTTTTCTACGCAACTTTTTTTTGCAATTTTGTTAGCGTAGAGAGAGAGAGAGAGAGTAGAGAGAGAGAGAGAGAGAGAGAGTAAGAAGTACGTAAAGTTAAAAACTTACGTTAAGGTAAAGTAAAGGTAACGTAAACGAAAACATAAACATATATTATTATCGAAGTACAACTAATAATAAGTAATTATATTATATTATTTAGTTTATTATATATATATATGTGTGTGTGTGTGTATGTGTGTGTGTGTGTGTGTGTGTGTGTGTGTGTGTGTGTATGTGTATGTATACAAATTTCATATAAATTTATGTTTTTGTATGTTTGGAGACAAAACTACAACTTTTAACATAAGATATAATTGCTAATTTAAGAATGTTTGTAAAACTTTAAAGTAGCACTCTTTCTCGCATGTTAAAAGAAAATAAATATTTGTCATTATTTATAAGACAATATTTGTATATTATATATGTATATTCAATATATGTATATTCAAAAGTTTACACATATTTGAATTCAAGTTTACGGACGAGATTTGAGGCTTATGTGCAAAAGTAACTCTGCGGTACTACTAATGAGTGAGTTATGGCAAATAGTAGAGTAACAGGAATAACGAGAAGGCGGGAGTACGCAATGCAATGTAAGTAATACAGTAAATAAATACGGCGTTACGTCGGTTGTTTACTATGCCAACCGCGGCTTTACCGCTGCAATCGTAGTTACATGCAATGTATGTTCGTTAATATTGCAACATTCTCGCAAACATACCCTAATGATATATTGCTCTGAAAGACGTAATCCGTATGTACGTACGTTTGTTATGTACGTACAAAGTATTTCTGACACTGCATTATACAGTTTACTCTTGACTACAAACCCCGTAAAAAATTTGAAGTTGATTTTTTTTTCAGACTATTCTTTCTTTCTTTATTCATACAAGCGTATCATTGTGTTGACTATTATCAATTAAATAAAGTTTGATTGATTAAAGTGCTTGCTCTTACCAATCGGAAATTTTAATTTCTACATCGTTCAAACGCACACATCGGATTTTCATTTCAACAAAAGATTGACCGCCCATCACGTAATGTGTATCTCTTTCCATCGGTTTTCTTGACGAAGTCCCTCGCTACTTACTTTCTGTCGGCGGTAACTTTGCGGCCGAGCCATAAGTAATGAAGAAATGCTGAAGATTTTTACTTCAGGAATTGCGCGGTGAGATATATATTGAAAAAGGTAAAAAAAAAGTAAAGATAAAGATGGATCGAAGGAGCAAGGAAGAACGGCGGAGGAAAGTGAGGAAAGAAGAGAGACGAGTAATCCTGGCCAAGGTAATATTAATAAGTAGGAGGAAAAGTTGGTCTGATCGACCGACCCGAACGAATCCGGCACTAGACCACATCACAGGCCGTTTGAACGCCGAGGCTATTAGCATAATTACAATATTTCCGCTTTAGTCGGTTCAACTTTCTGCTTATTTTAAACCACCGTCATAATATCGTCCATGATAACTCTGCCGAGTCCATTACTTTGATGTAACCGAAAAGCCGAATCACTGATACGAGTGCTGGCTAACGTCGAGATCGCCGACTTTCCGACTGAATCTGAAGGCGAACGACCGTTTCCTCGTAAATTAATTTAAAAAAGTAGTATACTGATTACAGTTAATTAATGCTCATTACAAATATGTGAATTTTGCGTGAATTTAAATATTTATTATTTTATGATTTTTCTACAAATAATTAAATTGTGATTTAAGATTTTTGTCAAAGTTGAAAAATGATTTGTCACACAAATAATTAAATTCGATTATAATTTCAACATACAGTAAGTCATCAATTAGTTGCGTTTGCGACAGCGAAGATTAATTGAGCGCACCGTATGGTGGATCGTAGATATGTGAAATTGAGGATTTCGAATCTTGGCGACGGCTCTCGATATAGGCGCAAATAAAGTTTCGTCTTTCCATTTTCGCCGCGGGAGCCGGATCGACGGTGCGCTGTGGAAATTCGAGACGGTAGCGCACGGTGCTGTGCTAGATTCGTTCCTTCCGGCGAAAAATCGTCTCTGGTTGAGAGATACTATTCGCGGTAAAGAGAAGAACCGAGACGCAGACGTGGATAAAAGTAGACGAGAGCAAAAGGGGAAGGAGATGGAGCCGATACCGTGTACGACGTGGCTCGGGGAGATCCATCGTTTTACCGCGACAGAGATTGTTTCGTGATCTCGAAAAAAGGGCACGGTCGGAATGGATTAAATGAGAGTAACGTAGCCGAGGGAACGGGGGGGGGATATACGGAACGCACTGCGGTACCAGTAACAGAGTTACGTTGTCGCGTGTAACGAAGTAGATTACTCAGTGTGACAGAGGACTGTAATTTCCTAAGCAAATGACGTCGATCGTATAACGAACACGGTAGTTGGATACGATATATTTTCATTCATCTCGCTAATCTGTTAGTATCAGATTACGAACGTTTGTACATGAAATGCGTATTTTTATATTTAATTAGCTTCTCTGATTAATTTCTCGAGTATAGCGCATCTAAGATTAAAATTCTCTACAGCCCTTTATTTGTATTAATGGATATAACTAAAAAAATTAGAAGTGGCACATGAAAAAAATCACCTTAAATGATTTTTGGCAATACAAGAAGGGGACGAAGAAACTTGCTCGCAGTAAATTGCCGTACCTTCGATCTTCGAAGGTAGGTTGTAACCGATTGGTTAGAAATGATTACTCGTGATTTAAGGAGCTCTTTGGCGCCGATCCCCCGCATTACTCGACCAGTTGCATTTATCTTACTCTCGGACGGCCTGGTCTATTTTATCTACGACGAACAGCAGCCGACAACACGCCTAAGGCGCCGTTTATTTCCTCGTCCTTTTCCATTTACTTCCTCGCGTCTGCATGTCTTGATGCACAATACGTTCGGCGCAAGTCAGGCCGAAATAAATATTTTATTACAATTGCAAAAAAATAATGTATAATATTGATAAATTTACTTCAAATTTACAATTATTAGCAATAGTAATAATTACCATTTCTAAATTTAATTCAACAATCATACGAAGCACTACATTACTCATTATTGAGCTGTTATTGAGCCTAAAAGAAAAAAAAAACCTTTAAATATAATTTTACAAAAATGCCAAAAGGATAAAATTTTTAACGTTCTTTCGACTTGAACACTCGAAAAATTGGCTGGTGAAATGATGAAATACAGAGAATGATGTTATCACGATCGTCCTTCCGAAGCCAATACCACACGATTGATGACACGTTAAGTGCGACCGAATACCCAAGTCGAAATCGCGTCATTCATCCGGGTGAGATTGAAGCAGGTAGCAGCCTCTCGAGACAAGTGGCACCATCGACATGGTAACGGCCTGGTAACTGCCTCGTAAGCCGCCTAACGGAGCACCAACGACGATCCTAACGGCCGATCCTCCGCTCGCTGGTTAGACTTAGCGCAATGGCCTCTTCATCAAGCATCACACGCCTAAATCCACGCCTGGATCCTCGAATGACCGTCCTTCTCTCCGACTGACCGAAACCTCGTGGAAATTCACAAGGATTATACGGGCTCGCATTCACGCGATTTTGAGCTTAATGTCTCGATCAAGGCCGATCGAGTGATCGATCTTTCGTATCGTATCGAGGTACTATTGGCGGCGAAATTGGGATAATACGGCGCGCCAATTACTCGATCGAAACAACACAGGTCAATTTGTTCTGATCAATTCATTAGTCAATGAGAATACTAACATGTGCATTTCGATAGACAATGTAATTTATTCGCGTAATACACGCGCTACACGGTTCATATTTTGCACAAGTATAATTTTAATCATAACACATATATATAGTAAGATTGACGCGTTTCGGGGAGGATCCAAGTATAAGTTTTCGTTATTATAAATTATTTTTTTAAGCGATTAAACCTCGAATGTCTATGCAATCGATTGCAGTTTCGATCGCTGATACGGCTTGACTTCGGTGATGGTGACAATGAAGCTGATACATCTATTGAAACCGATGGTTCTTGGATTGGTCGGGATTACCGACGCGTTTCCCGGGTAATGCTGTTTCCTTGTTTCTCTTCCGCCTCGCTGAAGGGTGTATTGTGGTCGGGGCTATCCCATTACCAGGCCACTGTTTGATGCTAGTGGGAGAAGGATGGACATAGGTGAATGGATCACTTGCGATTACCGCGTCGATTAATTTGCATTTCTACCTCAAGTGTTCATCACGCGCTCCTAACGGTCGTCATTACGTCAGATGTTTGTTAGATTCTACTAGTAATTGTTATTCCAGTTATGCGTGTATTGAATACAATTTCTCGTTAATAATGTATCGGCTAATTGCAGAGTAAATTTCTATCATAATTAGTTTCTTTATATTTTAACAAATCCTTTTTTTTTGTAATTTATTTTAGAAATGTAATTTGCTGCCACTCAAGGTGCAATATATATTTTAAAGACTGCATACAATTTCAAAATTCAGATATAAAAATGATATTTTTATACATGATTTTCACTTTCAGTTTTTTTCTACAAAGAAATTATGCTGAAATCGCGAACTCAAGTTAGCTCCGACTATTAAATTGATATTTCATGAATTGACGTCAGGAACACTCGATACTATCTGAACAGACTTGTTTCATGTTAGATCCAAGAATCGCGAAGGGTCGGTTTGCTAGTGAGGGGTGCGTTTCTCCATTGGACGCGTACAAACTGACCGCTCTTTTGTCGAGGACAATGCCGAGAGCTTACGTTCGTTCAATATTTTCCGTCAACAGGCTGCACACGCTCATCTCGTTATAAAGTCTGTTTGATCAGCAAACATCGCGGACCTCGATGCATGTGGCCTGAATGGTGCAACCAGCGCACATACACATACATGCATACATACACATACATGCGCACAGCTAATGCTGCGCTTACGTGAGAAATATTCATTTTTTAAAAATATATTTTTGTAATACTTCTAATTCAACATAACGCCTTGTTTAATTCAAACAAAAATTTCTTTATTTGATTTCCTGATTTTTTTAAAATTTTGTTGTTTATTACAAATTCTTTTCAAAATTTGTATTTAATTTTTATTTAATTTAGCTCTCTCTTTTTCTCTCTCTTCTCTCTCTCTCTCTCTCTCTCTCTCTCTCTCTCTCTCTGCAATGTTATAAATCCCCATTCAATAAAAGAAAGAAAGTAATAAAAACAAATTGGTCGTTTATATAATTTCCGTGGACAAACGTATAATTTTCGTGGATTTAAATTGATATAAAACAAGAACAAATTATTGTCCTGAATAAAAAGAAATTGTGATCGAAATTTAATGTTGGGACAGAACAATTGCGATGTACACGACGTACCTTGGATATTATCAAAATTATACATCAGTATCAAGTAATCTATGTGCATCTGCGTCCAACGTTCCGGCGCCTCTGATCTTGAAGTCATCCTCCTACCGCCACTCTCGTACTGTCTGCCGTACGACACAACCTACGCTGAGAGAACCGATGACAAACGTTGCCATCTAAACAAAGGGCTCTGGTGGCATACGCGCACCAGACACGCAATTTCCGCGCGGCATGTAAATCGTGCGAAATGAATTTCTGCCAATCACGCACGTGCGCCAGCCGCGCACGATCACGGAAGATTATCCTACACCACAAAGAGTATTTCCAAAAAAATATGCACCATGCGCCTGTCTAACGAAGCCTATAAAGCGATTTTATATATATGTATATATATATACATACACATATATATTGTATATATACATATATATAAAAAAGAAGAAATTACGTTGTCAAATCAAATTACAGTTATAATTATCAAAATTACCAAAATTACAATTATATTTTATAATTTACAAATAATTGTAAAAAAAAATTGCAAAAGATAGGTTCATTTTTTTATTCATTGTGTTTCTAAATTATTATTAAAATATTTATATTATAATTATGATTATACTTATTGCTATAAGGACAAACGTGCACATTGAATAATAATTTTGACAAGCTATCTTATTTTTCTAAAATTCCCCAGTTTTTGCGAAAGACACTTCATTTGACGAAATAACGTAAGAGACACGGAATTAAATAGAAAGATTCAGCAGTGACCGAATCAAAAATTCTATCTTCCTTCTGCATTCATCTGTCGAATTCGGAAGCAAAATTCACATATGCGGCTGTTCAATGGCATACGCCTCTCGTCAGTACCTTCATTCAAATGATTGATGCTCGCCGTCACTCGATAGACATAACGATATAAATCAAAGGGCGCCCTGGACGAGATGCAAACTTTTTTCTTTCCGTTTCTTTCTCTTCTCTATATACGTCATTCTCTTTCGTGTAAGGTGCTGCCAGGCGTTATCAAATCGGTTGACAACAGGGAGGAGAAGGGGATTAAATACCAAACGAGCGACGGGCTTCGATTGTTGGGCTGTGGCATGAGTGGTGTGAGTTGACG